TGTCTGCGGCGGCACAGACGCTTTCTGGCGCAACGGATTCATGTCTAGCACTCTTATTAACAAAAACAGGGGGTCGCAAAAATCCCGAAAATGTTCGAACGTGACGGTTGACCCTGACACGTAGGCGGAGGTTCAGCTGCAGACCGACCTTACCACAGGCGCAGTCGAAATCAGCCAGCATTCGCTCCGCTTGCTCGATGTTCGGCGTTATAAGAACGATGTCGTCAGCAAAACGAAGGTGGTGTAGTTGCCGGCCGTCGACCTTCACTCCCATGTCTTCCCATTCCAGTTGACGCATGACGTTCTCGAGAGCGGCGCTGAAGAGTTTGGGCGAGATGGTCTGTCGAACGTAAAGTTGCTGTAGAGCTCACGAAGAATCTTGATGTACTGAGTAGGGTTGCCCAAGGCTTCGATGACCGCTTCTGTCTCCACAGAGTCGAAGGCCTTCTTCAAGTCGATGAACGTGAGACAAAGCGGCATCTTGTACTCTCGTGAAACTTCAATGAGTCTCGTAACCGTGTGGATATGGTCGATCGTGCTGAACCCTCTTCGAAACCCTGCTTGCTCGCATGGCTGTCCTTCATCTAGTATTCTGCCGATCCTGTTAAGGATGACTCGAGTGAATAGCTTGTAGATTACAGACAGCAGGCAGATTGGGCGATAGTTGCCAATGTCGTCCAAGTCTCCCTTCTTGTACAGCAACACGGTCCTGCTGGTTTTCCACGGAGTGGGTACCTTGCATTCCGACAGGTAGCGCGTGAAGAGTCGAGCCAGAGTTTTGATGATAACTGGCGGCGCATTCTTCAGATGTTCCGGTTTGACCCTGTCGAGACCGGGTGCTGTACGATTCTTCACCGACTTGATGGCGTGTCGGACTTCGGAAGAGAGAACTGAGGGGACGACGTATCCATCCTGTTGCAGTTGATAAGTAGGCAGATGGACATGGCTATCGAAGAGATCCGAGTAGAAGTCGTGGATGACTTTCTCCATTGCCCTTCGGGATGCAGTAACTGTTCCATCCGGACGTCGGAGGCAGGTCATCTTGGTCTTGTAGCTGGCAAAGCTTCGGCGGGCATTGCGGATGCTCCTCCCAGCCTCTGCTGCTTCAGCTAATACTGCTGCTCTTCGCTCCTTGAGATCTTCCTTTATCGCCTCTCTGCATAGCTTCGCAAGCTCGGACGTGAGTCGGTGATTGCCTGCAGCTCGTGCGGCTCCACGTTGGCGTATTATCTACCGGAACTTAGGGTACTTACGATCCTTCCAGCAGATAAGGTACAACACTTGTGGAAGATCGCGCCTAGCACTTTTACCCCCACTCCATGAGCCTATTAGTGCTCGGCGGCACCTATAGATCACGCTCCATCTTGTAGAGGGAGTCACTTGCCTGAAATTGTGTTTTAGAATAACTATAATTGAATATTACCACTCACGTTCCTGTAAGAATGTTTAGGTGGACAACGGCTGACTGAAAACAAGCATGTGCACTTGCTTCAAGAAATGCTTCGCCACACCAACACTGGTTTTGATCACCAACTTGCCAGAATGATTGCTAGGGATGCTATCGAGAACAATCTTAAAGGGTAACAACTACAGTTTTGTTTACCAAACCAACCACTAATAATTCCACTTCCCATCTTCAGACCACTAGTGCTGGAATGGGCACCTAATATGCGAGTGAACCTTCCACCATGGAAACAAGATGCAGCTTGCGAAGATGAAGGCAAGATTACAGGCGCTGGTGAAAGGAGAAAGTGAAAAGGAGAAAGCAGCTCCCATAAAAAGGCATGGGGCTCCTCCACCTGCAGCTGTTCGTGCCAAACGTTCTGTGAAGACGAAGGCGGAAGCAGCTTCTAAAACAAGAGACACAGTCGACGAAGGAGCTGCTCCAGCCAAACGACATGCGAAAGCCGAAGGATCGCCGCGCATCCGAAGGAAAGGATAATACTGTCAAAACTGTTATGCTCATATGATAATGACTTTTTAACTGCGTAAACTTGCTCGTGTTTGTGATTACCAAAAAGTGCTAACTAAAGAAATAAAAAATTTTATGCTCAGTATCCTCTCTTTATGCTCTCCTCTTGCTACAACGACAAAGCGACTTCTGAAATTCGTCAATACTTGCAGTCCGATGCTATCGGACAAGCC